TCCTCCCTCACTCCCCCAGCCCCCTAGTTATTAAAAATGTAGACACCACAGACTCCAGGGGTCAATACGCTGTTGTTTTGAAATTTAAACATGAATTTCCATCTCACTGACCGTTTGGTTATAATGAGATGTGCTGTGAGGGGAGCTTTTCACTGCAAAACATGCATGAGTGAAGTCAGTTGATAGTAGAAACACAGTAGTAGATACTCACATCCTCCCTCTCTTTCTTTCCCTCCCTCCCTCCCTCCCTCCCTCCCTCTCCCACACATGTGCACATACTCCTAGAACTGCTACGATCACGGATTTCTCCTGCTGAGCCATGAAATGTCAGATACGGTTAGCCATCTTGAAAGCAAACTTCCAACTCACTCTGTCTCCCTTGGGGCGGATGATTGAATCGCAGCATAAACTGCCTGATTCTAAGCCAGACCATAAGCTCATCTACCTCAGTGTCGTCAACACTGGCTGGCAGTGGCTCTCCAGGGGTGCAGGCAAGGTTGCTTCCAAGCCCTACCTAGAGATGCCATTGGAGAATGAACGAGGGACCTTCTCCATACAGATCAGATGCCATGCCACTGAGCTATGGACTTTCCCCAAAGAAGAGAATGAAGGGGAGGTTTTCCTATTCCTTGTGGGGCAGGGTTAATCAAAGCTTGAGATACCCCCATTCCACAATCGCATGTTAGGGGTGAGGGAACGCAAGAGGGAAAGGATCCAGTAGGGCTCTTCTTCTGTTACTGTGGAGAGTGTATTAACTTATGGTCTGTGTGTGTGGTTTAGGAGCTGCACGGTCAGGGGAAAAACAATGCTGTCCAGGGTTGTAAAGACCGAGGAGAGAATAATTGGGTGCACTCTTCCCACCTTGGATCAAATCTATGCTTCCAGGTGTCAGAAGAAAGCTGCAGAGATAGCGCAGGATAGTGCGCACCCCGGAAATGATCTCTTCCAGCTTCTGCCTTCTGGAAGAAGGTACAGGGTTATAAAGACCAGGACTAGCCGCCTGAGAAACAGTTTCTACCCCAATGCGATTTTGGTTTTAAATGCAGTGTAAGGAGTCTTTATGGGAGTATATTGTATTTAAAAATGGGGTATCAGAGTTTTTAGGGGGCTAAACCAGGTTGGGGTAGCTGGGATAGCAGGCTTGTTGAGTTTTGAATGTTTTATGTAGATTTTTCAATTTCGTTGTTCTGTATGGGACAATGACAATAAAGATTATCGTATCGTTATTTCACACTTTCAGATCAGAACGCAAATCCCAGTCTCTAGATTCTGTGATGCAGTTTCAGCGCACAAAATGTGCATGGGAAAGTGTGTTTCACATTTTGGAAGTGGACAAAAATGTATTTCAAAGAGGAATTCACTGGAAAGTGAATGTTTTGCTTTCTTTTCTTTTCTTTACAAAAGGAGTATGAATAGTGCGAACAGAAGGATTGCAAATTGTGTACAGTTAAAGTGCAGACTTTTCATGCAATCATATATTTTTTTAATAAAAAAACTGCACCAAACAGGAGGGAATGGACCTATGATTGAGTACCAACATGATAGAAACAAGACAGAATTAGCTGCTTAGTCCATCCCTGTAAAGGTAAAGGGACCCCTGACCATTAGGTCCAGTCGTGGCCAACTCTGGGGTTGCAGCACTCATCTCGCTTTAATGGCCGAGGGAGCCGGCGTACAGCTTCCGGCTCATGTGGCCAGCATGACTAAGCCACTTCTGGCGAACCAGAGCAGCGCACGGAAATGCCGTTTACCTTCCCGCTGGAGCGGTACCTATTTATCTACTTGCACTTTGACGTGCTTTCGATCTGCTAGGTTGGTAGGAGCAGGGACTGAGCAACAGGAGCTCACCCCATCGCGGGGATTCAAATTGCCAACCTTCTGATCGGCAAGCCCTAGACTCTATGGTTTAACCCACAGCGCCACTCGCATCCCCTAGTCCATCCCTAGCATCACCCAAAATCTGTCCTCCCATAACCCAAGTTTATTAGCTCTCTTCTTGTACCCTGGGAAGGCACAGAACAAGTCTTTGCCCTCTTCTTTGCCTTTGCATTCTTGATAAAGCCGGGTTCTGCCTCAGAAGCATGATTTTTCTAGGGCTTACTGGAAGCTGAGATATTGTGTGTCTCTTCAAGTAGCTCCTTCTGCTAGTTTGCACAATAATATGTGTTTATGTGACACCAGGACTACAAAACCCATGATAAAGTGTGAGCGTGAGCTGAGTCCAAATAAATGCCAAGAAATCTCCAGGGCCTATAACTGTAGTCAACATTTGCAATCCTGGTCAGTGCAACTGAATGTCTGAAATCTGGGAGAAAGGGTAGCTTCCTTAAGAAAAATATCTTGCACTCAGCCAGGGAAATGGATTAGCGGACAGAATTTCTCAGGGGTTTTCCCCCTGCCTCCGTATGAAATTGACTCATATTCACCACCACTGTTCCTTAAAATACTTTAGTGTGAAATGGCTGCAAGTCCCATTGACTTCAACAGAGGTAAATCAGCTTAAGTGGGTTGCAGAAGGCTGGGCTGTAAATGACTCACCCCATCATATACCTTGAGCTTGAACCAAAAATAGAACAGTTAGAGACCCAGTTTTTGGGTGCTTTTGTTCTCTCTGTTAGATGGCTTCCTCTCTCTCTCTCTCTCTTTTAACAGGGGGAGGTGGGATGGCGGTAGGTAAAAAGAGGAAGGTTGTGTCGTCAGTGAGGATTTTCCAGTTTTACATATAGAACTCTTTTCTGACACTCCGGCTCCTGAGTCAGCAGTCTGAGAGCAATAACTCCCCGTAATAAACGGCGCCAGAACACCAAGTTTGTGTGGGTAAATTTGGTTCTAAAGTGAGTGATGTGCTTCAGTGTAATCAGGCACAGTTGTTGTTTGAACACTGTAAAGTCTATGAAATATGGCCTCTCCGTTCTCTGCTACAGGAACGGGGTGGGGAGGAGAGGAGAAGCTAGAGGAAAGCGAGCGGTGAAGAATCCAAATATAAAATCTGTGTATTAAGCCACACTGATTGCTCAAATGGGGGTGAGGAGAGTTGGGAGGGCTGCATTCACTGAGGAAGCAGGGTTCACATATTTCCAAGGAACACTCGCAAATGCCATTTTGTACACTTATATTTAATTAGGCATTAAATCCCACCTCTTGTCCTAAGAGTCTTCACATTGGCTTTCAGCAAGAGGAAGATGCTAACATAACAACAACAACAACAACAACAACAACAATAATAATAATAATAATAATTTATTTATACCTCGCCCTCCCTGGACAGACCCGGGCTCAGGGCGGCTAACACCAGTATAATTACAATTAAAAAATAAAATTAAAATAAACCAATTTAAAACACAGGTTAAAATATAATTTAAAATGCAGCCTCATTTTAATAGTAAACCATAGATCAAAACCATAAGGGGAGGGAAACATAAGGGTCAGACTGAGTCCAAACCAAAGGCCAGGCAGAAAGATGTCAAATCCCGCAGGGCCCTAGTCTCTTTTGACAGAGCATTCCACCATGTCGGGGCCAGTACCGAAAAGGCCCTGGCCCTAGTTGAGACCAATCTAACCACCTTGCGACTTGGGACCTCCAAGGTGTTGTCATTTGTGGACCTTAAGGTCCTCCGCAGGGCATACCAGGAGAGGCGGTCCTGTAGGTCGTAGTAGTAGTAATAATAAGAAGAAGAAGAACGCAATATTTGACGGCCACAAAACAGAAAATAAAAGCAACAGAGAACAAGCAAATAAAACAGATTGTAAGTGAAGTCTGGCTAAATAAATCTCAAGACCCATCTAGTCCAGAAATTGGATTCCTACAAGCCGGACCTGACAATGATATTGCCTCTGATGGTGGAGGCCAAACCCAGCAACTGTGACTAGCAGGAATTCATAGCCTAATCTTCCAGTGTTTCGTCTAAACAGTATCCTAAAAACTAGCAGAAGGGTTTGTGCTATCATTACAAGAATGGGAGACCAAGATGGACTTCACCTGCCATCTAAACAATAACAGGCTGCTAAATTTTGGGTATTAGCGAGGCCTTCTCCGTGGCAGCCCCTTCATTCTACAGCTTTTAGCAAATGCTGAAAATCACATCTTTACCCTAGTTTCTGACACTTGAGATTAATATTTTCCGTAATTTTGATTGGCAGCCACTTGCCAGGATTTCAGGTCTCCCAGTCGATGGCAGAGATTGAATTTAGAACCGTCTTCATGCAAATGAGATGTTCTGCTATTGACTTGTAGGAGATGTTCTGCTATTGACTTGTAGGCCTTTCTCATATCTACGTGACTTTTGTGTCCTCGTTTGAATGTGCTCAAGGGGCGATTAGAGGAAGGAATGTTCCAAACTTTAGCATCCTGGAGGCCGCTAGCAAATTCTAGTTTAGACAAGAGCAACAAAAATGATGAAGGGATCTGAGCCAATGACTTATGGGGAGAGATTTAAAAAACCAAATATGTATAGCTTGGCCAAACGATGGCTGAGGGAGTGATGATATCCATCTCCATATATCTGCAGGAGGTGTAAACTCCGAAGAGGGAGATGAAGTGCTTAGGAAAGTACAAAGGGAAATTTACTAGGTGTCGTAGAAGGAAATTAAGCAAAGGAAAATTTTGGCTGAATGTCAGGAAAACTTTCCTATGGGTGAAATTACAATGATGGAAAACTACCGCTTAACATGTTAAAAGTGCTTGTTTAAATTGCAGCCCACTATTCTTCTCACATGATGAAACCCTGCTATTAAGGAAGCAAAATTCCAGATTTTTGCAGTTGTGAAAATGGAAACTGTGAAGCCATTTTTGACATCTTTTAGGGGGTTGAAAATCAACCCGTGTTGACTTCTTTGGTAATGTACTCATTTCTCCCCACCTCCCCAGTTCTGTCCATCAACATACTCAAAAGATATGGTGGGTTGTGGTATGGTGGTGATGTGTTGTAACTATTATGGGATGGAGTGAGCAAACAATGAACCTGACTTGTGCTAACTTCAACACACGAAAACAGTGTGTGTAAAAGGTTGTGTGGTTTGGTGCTTAGCACATCAACGACCATGGACATTTCCCTAATCATAACATCTTAAAATGTCTCTTCATGGTGAGATTACTTTGGTAATACTTTTTCTATAGAGATCATTTCCAAGGAAATTGCAAATTCCCTAAAATAATGTGGTATTGGTATTGTGGGTCCCAATATTCAAATGTCTAAACACTTCCACCCAGTATTTTTTAGTTAAAAAATAAGTCTCCCTCCCCGCTTGTGGAAACTTAGCATATCAGGAAGCAGGCCAGGTTAGAATGCTTCAAGGCCAAGCAGTGATTTTCACATGGAGGGCCATCCTATCAGAAGCTTGTCCCACTTGGAACAAAATGGTACAACCCAAATGGACCATGCCACATAATATTTCTGTAGGAACAGTTCTAGACTTCAGGCCTCTTCTTTCCATCTATCATGCCATCTATCACAGTCCTGAACCTGATTCCACCCCCTTCTCTGGCAGGTCTTAATGGACTTGCCCTAATCTTGCAAATGCCATTACAGTGGTAAATTGGGTTACAGACGCTTCAGGTAACACAGGTTACAGACTCCACTAACCCAGAGTACCTCGGGTTAAGAACTTTGCTTCAGGAAGAGAACAGAAATTGCACGGTGGCAGCAGGAGGCCCCATTAGCTAAAGTGGTGCTTCAGGTTAAGAACAGTTTCAGGTTAAGAACGGACCTCCAGAACGAATTAAGTTCTTAACCCGAGGTACCACTGTACTTACCTCTGAAGGCTACTTCAGATTTCAAGTGTGGACCTATATTTGCAAACAAGACCTGGGCTATGGAAGCCATGGTTGGCTGTTGAGCATCTGCCCTGTCAGAAGCTGATGTTTGCCTTTGTTTAGCGTGTGACACGGCCCTCGCACGTCCTCGTATGCGTGGCTTGCGACGGCACTGTGACCCCATTCTTTCATTTAAAATTAAAGAAGTGCGCTCTTTGTCCTCTAACAGCATTCTTCCCCGCAACACCGCTCCGCAAAATCTGGAAGCCAGTGAAGTCCAAGGAAATCTCTCTTCTGCAAGACATCATTGGGCAGTTAGATCAAGGCCTTGAAGGGCCCTGTGATCTTCCTGGAGCTCCTCAGAAAGAGAAGTGTTGCTCGTCCATTGAGACAAAAGCGGCTTCATCTAATGTGATTGGACACAAAAGCATTGTCAGATGTGTAAATGCAAATTTAATGAGTACCAAGGAGGGAAGGGAGGTGGCGGCTGGTGAGAGAAACTTCCAAATCAATGCAAAAATATTCGGCGCTGCAGTCATTTTGATTAAAAAAGAACACAGAGAGAGGAGACCACTTGAAATAAGCAAAAAGGGGGGAAAAGAACTAATGGGAATCTCATCCATTATTTAATCTGTTCCTTATCTGAAATGTACAAAAACTGGAATCTACTATGGTGTGTGTGTGTTGTTCTCTTTGTGCAAAAGCAACCAGAGCAAGGGGCAGCAATTTCACTTAATATATTAAATCCAGTGTCAGGCTCGGAGCCAGATTAATAACTCCAACAAGCTGGAAAAGCCCTGTATGTATGTGTGTGTGTGTGTGTGTGTGTGTGTGTGTGTGTGTGTGTGTATATATATATATATATATATATATATATATAATGTTTCTGGCTTCATGGGTTATGTGGTTTGATTCATAAGTATCCCCACTGTTGGGCTTTATTAAATAATAATAAAAAATAGAGTAACAAACTAGGGATGGAATGGGAAGGAGTGAGAGAGGAGGACTGAGGAGGATTCCTCAATGCTGCTCTTTGTATAGGAAGGGGGTAGGAACCAGGGGTGGAATTTGCTCAGGCTGCTTTTCACAGCAGGCGGAACCAATTTGAGATTCCCAAATTTGCCTGCGGGTTAGAACCCAACTTTCAGTGAGATTGCCCACTCCTCCTGATTGTGCGGAGCAGTTTTGAGTCCCAAAGAGTGTGAACAAAAGTAAATATGCAGATTTTAGGGGAAACATATTTGCGGAAAATGCATATTCTATGGCAAAACAGTGTACCTAGTGCAGGGGTCAGCAAACTTTTTCAGCAGGGGGCAGGTCCACTGTCCCTCAGACCTTGTGGTGGGCCGGATTATATTTTGGAGGGAAAAAATGAATGAATTCCTATGGCCCACAAATAACCCAGAGATGCATTTTAAATAAAAGGACACATTCTACTCATGTAAAAACATGCTGATTCCTCGACTGTCCATGGGCCAGATTGAGAAGGTGATTGGGCTGGATCTGGCCCCCGGGCCTTAGTTTGCCTACTCATGACCTAGTATGTAGCTAGGGTATGTTCTACCTCTGCTTTGAAGGCAGCTGCTAGGACTCAAAAGTGGGAAGGTGTTTTTGCACTCAGGTCCTGGTTTTCCACAAGCTATTGTGAGAACAGTATGCTGAGGTACTATAATGGTATGGGGTTGCTCGTGCGTAAGTTGCCGCCTCTCCTGGCTATGTTGCCTTGTTAAACCTTTCAGTCTGGACAGCCCTTCACTTCGTGGCTGCCTCAGTCGCTAGCAGAATCCGTCAGTTGGCGTTTCTTAAACCTTTTCCAACATAAAAGTTGTTTGACACCCAGTCTCCTCCTACTTTCTCTGCGTGGAAGTCTTCTGCGCAGGGAGGGCGTGGGTAGCGGAGGACCAGTGCTCTCCCCGCTGGTGTCCGGTGAAGAGTCTGGGAGCCCTCTCGCCGATTCCCCCATCTGCCCCTCCTTATTCCTGGTGTTGCACTGAATTGCTTCCCCATCTGCTGGGCCCTTCTCCAGCATCATTAGAGAGCCTCCCCTCCACCTCTAGCTCCGATGTCAGTTCCCTGACAGGTACACATTGGCCTGATGTAGCAGTCTATTCTGATGTTATTTTGTTCCTATCTTATTATTTTCATCTGGTTGGCCAATATGAGCATAGGATGCTGGACTAGAGGAGTTTGGCTTGAACCAGATTGCCTCTTCTTGTTTTGTATTATTGGGGAAATGGGTGTGAAAGAAACTTCTCTCCATGTTTATTTCCAAGAAGCTAATTTGACAACTTTTCCGGCTTGGGGAAATGAGTCACACGAGTAGGCACACCCAATCAGAATCACAGATGTAGCATCATCCAAAATGTTGGCGCCGAGGTCCATCTTTACTCAACAGATTCTGCTGCTGAGTCACCACTATTGATTCCAGTTGGTTTCCTCTCTGCCAAAGGTCTTCACCTTAGTGGCAGCAATGACGGGGCCCTCAGTGTAACTTGGAGCTGAAATCTGAGTTCCTCCCTGGAGCTTCCTCACTGTAAGAGTCACTGTCTCAGATGGCTGTGAATCTGATTGGCGGTGTGGACCCATTTGCTGCTCCTCCAAGGAGGAGGTTGCTGAAGAGGTCTGGGGGAAAGACAGTGCTGCGTTTGATCACACCCACTCACCAGTGCAAATGACTGGGAAGTGTGTGCTATACTGAGCCCCAAATAATAATAATAAGTTATTATTTATACCCTGCCCATCTGGTTGGGTTTCCCTAGCCACTCTGGGCAGCTTCCAACAAAGTATTAAAATACAGTAGGCTGTTAGACATTAAAAGCTTCCCTAAAGAGGGCTGCCTTCAGATGTCTTCTAAAAGTCTGGTAGTCTCTTTGACATCTGGTGGGAGGGCTTTCCACAGGGCAGTGCCACTACTGAGAAGACCCTCTGCCTGGTTCCCTGTAACTTGGCTTCTCACAGGGAGGGAACCGCCAGAAGGCCCTCGGTGCTAGACCTCAGTGTCTGGGCAGAACGATGGAGGTGGAGATGCTCCTTCAGATATACTGGACCAAGGCCGTTTAGGGCTTTAAAGGTCAGCACCAACACTTTGAATTGTGCTCGGAAACGTACTGGGATCCAATGTAGGTCTTTCAGATATGCATGTTTGATTACACCCACTCACCAGTACAAATGACTGGGGAGTGTGTGCTATTTGCTGAGCTACTCTACCCCTCCCCTGCTGAAAATGTATATGTTATTGTTGTTTAGTCGTTTGGTCGTATCCGATTCTTTGTGACCTCATGGACCAGAGCATGCCAGGCCCTCCTGTCCTCCACTACCTCCCGCAGTTTGGTCAAACTCATGCTGGTAGCTTTGAGAACACTGTCCAACCATCTCATCCTCTGTCGTCCTCTTCTCCTTGTGCCCTCCATCTTTCCCAACATCAGGGTCTTTTCCAGGGAGTCTTCTCTTCTCATGAGGTGGCCAAAGTCTTGGAGCCTCAGCTTCAGGATCTGTCCTTCCAGTGAGCACTCAGGGCTGATTTCCTTCAGAATGGAGAGGTTTGATCTTCTTGCAGTCCATGGGACTCTCCATAGACTGTATATACTGTATAATATATATATTGTATAAATGTATAAACTGAGCCCCAAATATGCAAACTACAAATATTTGGCTTAGCTCTGCACCCAAAACTCAATCTCCTACGTCCCTCCCTCCCATATGCTTTTGCAGATTGCACAACGGCAGATCAGCAATGTACAACCCATCGGATAAAAAGAATGTGCATGGCTGAGGGTGCCTCTTTGTTCCCTGATTTGCCTAATCTAGTTACGGAAGCGAGTCCCCCCCCCCCTTTCTTTCTGATGGCTGCTTTCGGGACCTCTTCTTTTCTCTCCTGCACACGCGCGTGCGCACGTACTTATGAATTCATCATCTGTCATTTTTCATTAAGCTGGTTAAAAGAGACGTTTTGAAAAGCTCAGAGTTTCCGAGAGCAGCCATGTGTACTCTGTTGGAAGTAAATGAAAGCTAATTGGGGGAAAAAAGTCATGCTGGACACTGGGACAAGATGCGCCCTTTAAATGCAGATTATTGACCTGTGAAGAATGTATTGAGCAGAGCAGGGGGGACCTCAGTGGATTTGCTTTATGGCTGTGGCTAAGTGGCTAATCCTGAGACAACAGCAGAACCAGGGGGCATTTTTCCACATTACAAAACTGACCCCTGGACCATGGGCTCCTACAGAAAAGGAAGTGCCATCTACTGTGCCAGATGATTGTTCCATCTTACCCAATGGCAGCGGGAGTCAATGTGGCACCCTCCAGGTGTTTTCGAACTGCATCTCCCATTGGTCCCAGTCAACTTGCCCAATGGTCAGGGATGATGGGAGACAGAGGATGGCAATGCTTGAAGGGCAACACATTTGCTTTGTTTACTCTGAAGGTGAGCAGCTTCTCAAGATGTTGGTCAATGGAATATCCCATCCTTTCTAAATGAGATCTTTTAAACTGAAGGTGTAGGAAACTGAACCCAGGGAAAGTAAAAACCCATGATTTTATATGGAGCTATAAAGGTAAAGGTAAAGGGACCCCTGACCATTAGGTCCAGTCGCGGACGATTCTGGGGTTGCGGTGCTCATCTCGCTTTATTGGCAGAGGGAGCTGGCGTACAGCGTCCGGGTCATGTGGCCAGCATTACTAAGCCACTTCTGGCGAACCAGAGCAGTGCACGGAAACGCTGTTTACCTTCCTGCCGGAGCGGTACCTATTTATCTACTTGCACTTTGACATGCTTTCAAACTGCTAGGTGGGCAGGAGCAGGGACCGAGCAGCAGGAGCTCACCCCGTCGTGGGGATTCGAACAGCCGACCTTCTGATCGGCAAGTCCTAGGCTCAGTGGTTTAGACTACAGCGCCACCTGCGTCCCTATGGAGCTATAGGCCGATGCTAAACTTGAGTACTTTCAACTGTATGCATGTCACAGGGCTTCTGTGAAAGGAAGAGACATAACAGTACAATGCCATGCAAATTAGCTTCCAAGTAAATAATACATGCGGGTGGGTTTAAAAAGGCTTCCTCCTGGGTAAGAGGGACGCGGGTGGTGCTGTGGGTTAAACCACAGAGCCTAGGGCTTGCCGATCAGAAGGTTGGCGGTTCGAATCCTTGCGACGGGGTGAGCTCCCATTGCTTGGTCCCTGCTCCTGCCAACCTAGCAGTTTGAAAGCATGAAGTGCAAGTAGATAAATAGGTACCACTCTGGCGGGAAGGTAAACGGCGTTTCCGTGTGCTGCTCGCTTAGTCATGCTGGCCACATGACCCGGAAGTTGTACGCCGGCTCCCTCGGCCAATAAAGCGAGATGAGCGCCGCAACCCCAGAGTCGGTCACGACTGGACCTAATGGTCAGGGGTCCCTTTACCTTTTTCCTTTTCCATCTCCTAATGGTATTTGGTGGGAACCTGTAGCAGAGCACATGCAAAATGTCGTTGTTCACCCCCAGGTTAACAGCATTCAGCATCAAAGCTAGGAAGAGCTCTACAGAAGACCACGGAGAGCTTCTTCCACTTGGGAGTAACTCAGGGAAGTCATCATGGTCAGTGGCCAAACATGATTCCCACA